GGGGCAGAGCTGGACACGGCGCCTCACGCCCAGCTCAAACCGCAGGCTCGGCAACGTCAGGGCAAGCCAGCTCTGCGCGGACGATCCGTGCGTGGGCAGCCCCCCGGCGCGCCGAGACGGCGAGCCACGCCCAGAATACGAGGGTAGGATACGCTGAACGATGATTGACAAATGAACATACACGTTGACTGCAATTACGTTTCGCGCAGAGGCCAGACCGCGATGGGCCGCAGGAAAGGGTACGTCAACACGCCACCAAGCGAGCACCGACCGCACGCTTCAGGACCATCCAGCCTTTCCAGTGTGTTCGTCAAGTTAAAAAGCAATGAAAGGCTTAATTGAGCTGCTTGCGCTTGGCACAGGAGCTGCTGCGAAACCTGCGCCGCTCATCATAGTGGAGCGCGCCGGTGGCGGGACAGACAACTGCAGCAACGAGCAGCTGGAGCATGAGTCTCAACCTCGGCGCCTCCTTCTACATGACAGAAGATGCGACTCAGGCCGCGGCTGCTGCTGCCATGTTGCTGCCACTTTCTTGGCCTTCCAACACATCGACGCCTATGTGGCCTTGCGGAAGCAGCAGCTGAGTTGGGCGAGCCCGATCCTGCTGAAAGCAGTCGGACGCGGCCTGTGCGGAAAACTGCTTGCAGCGCTGGCCACGGAGAGCTTGACGCGCGCCAAAAAAGAAAGCGGCAGCTGTCAGGGAAAGTTGGCAACATGCATGTTTACGAGTCCTGACATATGACAAAGCAGTGCAGCCTTGTGCACATTGCAGGGCCAGTGCGCCCACGAATGCAGGGTTCTCCCCTTCAACTAGTCTCTGGCATTGGATTTTGGCATCAGCCAACCTGTAAAGGCCTGGCTCTCACATGCTGGAGGGGTTGTATATTGGCTCACGGAAAATCTGGCAGGAATCTTGCGCAGCACACGTCAGACCTGTTAGGTGGCGTGCTTTGTGTTTTCATTGTGTTCTTGATTGCGCTTTGTGTTGCGAGTGCTGATGCGCATGGCACAAGTTCACTTCAAGAAGTAGGAAACAAAAAAGTGAGGCGCAGCCATGGCAAGCTGCTGCGGCTTTGTCCGGCGCATCGGTCTTGGCGAGCAGGGTCCTACAACTGTGGACATGGCCCGCGCGAAGACTGTGTGTCGCGTCGCCACGTGGACGCTGCGTCCTGCCCAGGTGTTGGCGAAGTCTGTGGTCCGCGCTAGGCCCTTCAGTGCCGGGCGCACACACAGGACCGCAGTCCTCTCAGCCTGATGGAAGATCTTGCTTCCGCGCACGTGGGCCTAGTAAATGAAAAGTTCGACGAGCTTGAGGACACCGGCGGGCTTCACTGGAGACTTCGGCACAAGAAGGAGCTCTTCGACTCATGGCGCCGCAAAGCGCCTGGGCAGGAACCCATCGGGAGCAGCTGGGCCCGATCGCGAAGACGAGTGGCCTCAGCTTCGTCTTCCAACGTAGCGGTACTTGGAAGCGACGCATCCATGCGGTCTCCTGCGTGGTGTGCGTGGATCGCCGCGCCATCTTCCTATCGTAAACTAAAGCAGCGCCACCAGCTTTGATTCACATTCATCATGGCCCCTTGCTGGGCTAGGCCAGACTTGAACTGCACCGCGCGCATGCACACACAGATGCACGCTCGCACACGCACGCTCGCACGAGCTGCCAATCATTGGCGCACGCATACAAATGCGCGAGCACAAGAACTCCCATGAACGACCTCAAAAACGCACACACGCAGACAAACAAAAACAACAACGTGCAGGCGCACACACACAGAGACACACAGAGACACACAGAGACGCACAGAGACACACAGAGACACACAGAGACACACAGAGACACACAGAGAGACACAGAGACGCACAGACACAGAGACACAGAGACACAGAGACACAGAGACACAGAGACACAGAGACACAGAGACACAGAGACACAGAGACACAGAGACACAGAGACACAGAGAAGCACACACATACACACACACGCACACACACACGCACACACGCACACAGACGCACAGACACACACACACACACACACGCACGCACTCACGCACACACACACACACAAAAACCACACACACATTCACGCACACGCAAAAGCACACGCACACGCACACGCACACGCACACGCACACGCACGCGCACACGCACGCGCACGCACGCACGCACGCACACACGCACCCGCGCGCCCGCGCGCCCACGCACCCACGCACCCACGCACCCACGCACCCACGCACGCACGCGCGCACCCACGCACCCACGGACCCACAAACCCACGCACCCACGCACCCACGCACCCACGCACCCAGACACCCACACACCCACGCACCCACGCACCCACGCACCCACGCACCCACGCACCCGCGCACACACGCGCACACACACACACACACGCACACACGCGCACACACGCGCGCACGCGCACACGCGCACATGCGCACACGCGCGCACACGAGCGCACGCGCACGCACGCGAACGCGCACGCACACGCACACGCACGCGCACACGCGCACGCGCACGCACGCACGCACGCAGACAGACAGACACAGACAGACGCAGACAGACAGACACAGACAGACAGACACAGACAGACAGACACAGACAGACAGACAGAGACACAGAGACACAGAGACACAGAGACACAGAGACACAGAGACACAGAGACACAGAGACACGGAGACACAAAGACACAGACACAGACATACAATCACACACAGACACACACACGCGCACACGCACGCGCAAGCACACACAGGCACGCTTGCTGCTTGATCACTTTGAGATGCCCAGACAACACACAAGCAGCGCCTCCCCCCAGGCAACACCCGCTCCACAGCATCCCCGCGCGTCAGGTTGATTTGCTTGCACATGAGGCTTGAACAGCACGCGTCTTCCTGAACAGCCAATGCACGTGCCTCCCTGCGTGTCGGTCTGAACTTGGTGCTTGAAGAATACTGGCAAGATTCGGCAGCCAAGGCTGCGTGCGAACAGGACGCAAGCAACACCTCCTGGGCAACCAGGCCACTAGCATCTCTGCATGTCGTTTGGTTTTCTTGCACTTGATGCTTGAAGAAAGTGAAAGACGCGGCAGCCAAGTGCTGCACTCCACTGGCATCCCTGCGCGTCGGTTTGATTTGCTTGCGTTTGATTTGCAACGGCAGCCAAGTGCTGTGTGTGAGCCACGCACGGCGGCGTCCACTCACTCGACTCCATGTTGGCTTGATTTGCTGATTGATGCTCGGCAGTTTTTGGACATGTGCGGGCTTGGGGTGTGCGCAGGCAGCTAGCAGCCTGTGTTTTTGATGCCTGAGTCACACCAGAAAAATAAAAAGCAGGGCCCCTCCTTTTGCCAGCGAACAACACGATTTGCTTCACTAACCTGATCTTGAGAAGTGACACCGTGTGAAACCTTGCTCGTGGAAGCCACCTTTTGTGTGTCTTAGTTCCATCAAGGTGAGACAATTCATTGCGTTCAGATGGCGGCCTGCTTGGAAATGGCCAGCTGACGAAGACGTGCAAGAGATTCTCATCCAGCACTCCTGGAAATCGAGAAGGTGGACAGAAACTGGCTGGACTACTGACAGCTTCCACCACAACCTGGGGGACATCGCCGACTGGCCATTCGACGCCGCCAAAGTCTTCGAGCAGCAGTCGGAGAATATGTGTACATGAGGTTGCTACCTAGAGGAGTGGCCGCGGCGCTTCAACACACTGATCTCTCGTGTTATCCACGTGCTTGGACGACGTGTCAAGGAAGGGAGCCCCGCCAGACTGGAGAGCATACTTCGGAAAGCATGAGGTTTCCCACATCGGCATCTCTTTGAAAGACGTCCGGTCTGCGGGCTTTGAGTACAGAGCGATCCCGTGGCTGCAGCAGGCTGCGCAAGCTTTGACAAGAACTCGCTCAAGCTGGAGAGCCTTGCAATCTTTTGATGCGCTGCGTCGGGGGCATCAGTCGAAGCTCGGCTATGCTGTGTTCGTGTCTCATTGTGGCGCGTTGCATGACCACGGGGGCCGCCGTCACTCAGCCGCCCTGCGGGCACTGAAGATGTTGGAGAGAGCCCGCGGCGACGTTCTGGCTCTTTAAGTTAGACGCACGATATTTTCTGCTTTGGGATTCACAAAAACCACTAAGATGACCCGGCAGCGTGAAAATAGGAACAGGGCTGATGGACCGCTTGGCGAATGCAAACAGCTTTCGTGCTGAGAACGGGGAGGCAACTTTCCCACCATTGGCCTCAGACCTCTTGAGCCAACCGTGCTGGGGGCGTCGGGCGCTGGAGCCGTCTGCCCCTGTTTTTTCGCACGCGCTTCACAAGCCTGGTGACAATAGGTCTCTCGTTAAAACTGACACGTGCAACACGCAACTTGAGTGCATTTGTTCTGCTCCCCCCTCATCGATCCAAGGTACGCTGGCCAGCCCCGTTTCAAAAGCAAATCGCGTCTTGCCAGCCAGCGGTGTTCCAAGTGGGCGCAGTTTCTTCCAGGGCAAAAAAAGCCAGTTTGCACGGGTTCTGTGGGAAAAGGCAACTTGCGTTGGCACGACATGCTTTGAACGGTGAGGACTAAACGTGCTCGAAACCATTGTGAATGAAGCGCAGCGTGTAAGAACAATCCGCTAGTCATATTGAATAGGGCATGGCTCTTAGTAGGGAAAGCATTCATCACCTCGTGCCCCAACCAGCTCAAGTGTAAAGACATGGGGTTTTGGCTGAGTCGCCTTGGCAAAACCATTGTCACAAACCGGAAAAAGAATCCAAGCAAGCCACGCTGTGCCCGCGCATAAGCCTTGAAGCTGAATTGCTGCTACAGGACTTCTTTGGATTGGCAAGGATTGAATACAGGCCCTCATTACCTCCAAGGGTTGGCTACAGGCCGATTAGCGACCCAACGCTTGGTCAAATTCTCCACGGCACCTTAAGTTCCAAAAAGAAACTTTGAGTCTCGTCCATGTGCCCAGCTTCATTCATCCCACCCAACTGGTGGCTTTTCCGTGCCTCTTCCCGCACTCGCGGGGCCATGGACATGTACCTAGGACACTCGCTCTGCCATGACAACAGACCTGCTTCCTGAAGAAAACCCTGCCAGCAAAATAGTGCAGATACCGTGCGGCCATGCAATTGCCATGTCTCTTCCGACAAAACCCACGCTCAGCTCAATGCGATGGCTCCCCCGGATATAAAACCTCGGAGGGAGTTTTATTATTAGGGGTCACGAGTTTTTCTTAGACAAAGTTCATTGTTTGCTGTTTAGTATTCGACTTGCGTTGGAAGATGGATCCCCCTTGCTTGCAGGAGCAAACGCTCCGCTCAGATTGCAACTTTTAAGTGGGAACTCTAAGAAGGACATTCACGTTGCGCAGGCCCTAAAAAGCACATTTTGAGAGCTTGGTGGAAACATGTGCGGTCTCAGGAGCTTAGTGCTGGTGTAGTGTGGGCTAACTTAAACTTAATACTTGCGAGTTTTTGGCGCGGCTGAGGGGAGTTTGATGATTCGGGGCTGGAAGGAGTGGTTGGGCAACGTGGCTACACCTGGAGGCTCCAGAGTGGCAGTGCCACCCACGAAGAAGCTATCGTCCGATGGCCGCACATTGCAACTTCGGCACCATTTCGTCAGGGATGTGGGACGAAGATCTCCTTGAAGGCGGGTGGCCCTGTGACCTGGGTAATGAAGAAGGGCGCTGACCACAAGCGCAGCGCAGCTAGCGGCGTTGCAGCGAGCGCCACGCCTGCCGAAGTGAACCGTGGCTGGCATTAAGCCGCAGTGGCCCAGGCTGAGTGCAAAGATTCAGGGCATCAAAAGACAACATCTGGCGCCAATGGCCTGCTCAACGGCATCCATGGCACGTGGGCGCCTCATCCCGTTGCGCCACACAGATCCCAGGCCTCCTACACTCCCAATTGCTGTGACAGATGCAGATGCCAATGCCCCTGCAATCGGGAATGGACTGCAAAAAAATCTGCAAATTCGCGCTCCGCAACAATGCGGCCATCTGGCAGAAATGATGCGGCCCAACAACATGGCATGGCGCCGCATCACTGGCTGCGCTTAAGCCACTGCGTTGCTGGCCATCGACAAGAAGGGTAGGGTTCTTGTTGTCACTGATGGTGCATTTTCCTCCGACTTGCGGCGGTGCTTGTCGCATGCATGCAAAGGATCAGAACAATTGCGGCGGCTTTGGTGTAGCAATCTGTTGATTTCCCCAAGCCAGCAGCCGAGTTGTCGCGAAGCATTGGAGTGAGTTTCATCACCCAATCCCAGCTGCTGCACCCAAACTGGGGAGTAGCACTCCGACATCGGTCCCGTCAATCAGAGACCCTCTGCGTTTGAAGGACAGGTTCTTCTGTCCACATTAGGGTCCATATCGCGCTTCTCTATCTTGAGAATGTTTTGCTTTGCGCTCAAGCAGTTGGATCTGAAATCTCTGCGTTGCCTTGTTTATCCCAAGCTCCTAACACCGGATGCTCATCAGAAGAACGATGATGACGGGGCGGGCGGCCCACTCCTCTCTAGCCAGAGAGGAGGGCGCAGTGGACCATGTAAACCTGTGAGCTGCCACACCTGTCGCAGGTGGTTGGCATAGCTTGGCAGCATGCGTTTGTGTAAAGGCCCTGCTGGCAGTGTTGCTGTAGGAGCCGTGGACGCATGGTGCCTGGACTGAAGCTGGCCGGGTTCCCGGTTATAGTGTGGGGGTCTGGGGGTTGGACCCTTGTTCGTGTCGTGTTGGTTGGCTTGTCGTCGCGGCGTCGTCGTATGTCGTCGAGGGAGGGTCCGAAAATCCGTGCTGTTGGGGCAGAATGTTGTTTTCGCTGGCCCTGTCTGGGAATCGTTTGCGTTGCACGTCCATTGTGATTCACCGTGCGAGAGAGATAGGGGCGCCAAATTAGAATATTTTACATAGATTTTTTGGCGCCCCCAAAGCACAAAACCGGGGCTTGGCCTACTGCGTGAGTCTCTTTTCTTTTTCGCAGTGGCTTCTGGCTCAAGCTGTGCACGGATATGGCCTTGGCTTGCGCGGCGACCCAGTCATCCGCACAGACCGTTCTACGGGCAGAGCCGCTGCTGCGCCCAGATCTGCTGGCCGCTGAGGCGTCAAGAGCTGCTGCGCTCCACTGAGCCAGCGGAGAAGGCAGGGGAAAAGGACCGGTCTGGCAGGCTTTCCCTGAAAAAAAAGAAACTGCCGCGCTGGTTCTGCAGCTTTGCCTTCTGACAGAGCAGAGGTCGTGTGCAGACACTGCCATACGCTCGCTTCTGGAGGGCGGGCCCTCCAGTTCTTGGCGGCCTGCCCTCAAGCTATCAAGTCGCGAAGACAACTTGGAAGGCGGCGCATAAAAGCGTATGTCCGGGAGAACGAAGACGGGGCAGGAGCAGATTGCAGCCTTGGCCGCGAAGGTGCCCTTGCGCAGCACGAATATGCAGGCCGCGCCGCCTGCAATGCCTGTGGCTGACGTCATGGGCGCGGTCATGCGCCAGGCAGTGGGAGTCTGTGCTCGTGGGAGTCGGCAGTGTGCGCCAGCATGAACCTGCAGGTCTTCTTTTGCGCAGCGAAATGCCTAGAGCGCGGAGCCAGCAAGAGGTGGGCCTGGACAAAGCGGTAACCTTAGTCACTGCGGATGCCAGCGCAGATGGAGAGCACAGCAATGATGGCCCATCGCCAAGCCCTCCCGCAGAGCTGTCGGCGTCCTCCACTACAGACCTCCTCGGTGACGGCCGTGCCATGACGCGTCCAGCTGCGCAGCAGCTTGCGTCAAAGCTGCCGAAGCCTGGCACAGAGCCTGCGGACACGTGCAAGAGCGGGTCGGCGCAGGCTCAGTACTGGGCCCACACGCACATCCTGGTGCAAGGCGGACTTCTGGCCCGAACCACAAGGCTATCTGCAGCAGTTGTGGCCTGCAGTGAAGAAAGGCAAACAGCTTAAGGCTTTGCAGAACACTTATCAGCACAGGCCAAGCCGTCGTTGAGGCTCAATGAGAGCCATGGCTTCCAAGGAGGCGTCGGATGAGGCGGGGTCTGGCAGCGTCTCGCTCCTAGCGCAAGCGTGTCACGTGTATGTAAAATAAATATATAAAGATACACAACGGATCATGTTACAGTTACGTGCGCGCGTTCGCCTGTATCCGCCATGCATGACATTCGCGCGTGGAAGGCTTGCCGTGGCCCAGGCCAAGCCTCGCATCGTCGCGGCTGCGGCCTGATTTTGCCACGGCTGCGGCCTGACGTTGTCACGGCTGCGGCCTGGCGTCCCTCCTGCGGCTGCGGCCAAGAGGGCGGCTGCGTCCGCAATGGCTGCGGCCTGGCGCCCTCCTCCGGCTAAAAGCTGTGTCCGGCATCCCTCTTGCGTCAGCCCGAGATCTGCGCCACGCGCCGGATACAAACACGGGACTTCCATGCTTGGGTAGACGCAGCCACGTCTTAGTACATATCAATTGTTCAGCTTTCCGTTTTTGTGGCTGCAAAGTGGTCTTCCCCAAAACAGGTATATACAGTATATACATAAATAGATAAAAAAAATATGTACATTGATACCAACAAAGGCACAAGTTGTTCCGCCTTGTGCTCTTTCCGTCTTGTATGCACACACAAATCTGTTCGTATATAATTGTAAATACACTTATGCAAATCTTCTTGCTCTGCGCAGGTGGCACCTCCTGTGGGAGAAGCAGGCGCGCCTGCGCGCGAAGGCGAGGACAAGGAGATCCCCAATCCGGCTCAGGCCGCGGCCGGTGAGGGCGACAAGGCCAAGGAGGCGGGGCAGACCTCCTCATCCGAGCACTCGCCGCCGAGCAGAGAGACCGCTCAATTCCGGGCTCTGCGGATGTGGAGAAGGTGGCCGAGCTGTGAGGCCGCTTCGTCAAGCAGCGGTCCGGCTGGGAGCGACCGCCTGAGCCGAAATACCCGTGGCAGACAATGCCTCTGCCCGAGAGCAGCGTGAGCGAAGCCAGCAACGGCGCAGCGAGAGCGGGCGTGGCGGGGGATCGGCGGGCCTGAAGCCTTGCTTGTTCTCCCTAGATGTCTTGAACAAAGGGCATGCTGCGGCATCTCCGCTTCACACCATCGACGCCCACGATGTCGCACTTTTCCAAAGGTACTCCGACGCGCAGTGCTTCTCGGCCGCCGAGGAGCTGGTTGAGATCGCGCTTCTCTAAATGTTATGCTTTGCGCTCAAGCAGTTGGATCTGAAATCTCTGCATTCCCTTGTGTATCCCTAGCTCCTAAAACCGTATGCTTAGCAGAAGAACGATGATGAAGGGGCGGGCGGCCCACTCCTCTCTAGCCAGAGCCTTCCGAGAGTGCAGTTAAGGCAACAGTATGTTGTGAGACAAGCAGTGGACCATGTAAACCTGTGAGCTGCCACACCTGTCGCAGGTGGTTGGCATAGCTTGGCAGCACGCGTTTGTGTAAAGGCCCTGTTGGCAGTGTTGCTGTAGGAGCTGTGGACGCATGGTGCCTGGACTGAGGCTGGCCTGCGTAGCGAAGGGTTCCCGTTTATAGTGTGGGGGTCTGGGGGTTGGACCCTTGTTCGCGTCGTGGCGTCGTCGTATGTCGTCGAGGGAGGGTCCGAAAATCCGTGCTGTTGGGGAATGTTGTTTTCGCTGGCCCTGTCTGGGAATCGTTTGCGTTGCAGGTCCATTGTAATTCACCGTGCGAGAGAGATAGGGGCGCCAAAATTAGGGTTATCCCACATAGACTTTCTTGCGTCCGCAAAGCGCGAGACTGGGGCTTGGCCTGTTGCGTGCGTCTCCTCTTTTTCGCAGCGGCTTCTGGGTCAAGCCGAGCGAAACTGCCGTCATCCGCACAGACCGTTCTACGGGCAGAGCCGCTGCTGCGCGCAGATCTGCTGGCCGCTGAGGTGTCTGGCTCCAAGCTGCTGCGCTCCATTGAGCCAGCGGAGAAGGCAGGGGAAAAGGATGGGTGGTGAAGGCAGGCTACACCACAAGCTGCATGTTTTTGACGGCTCGCTTTATCTGGCAGGCTTTCCCTGAGAGAGAAAGCTGAGTACATCCTGGAAACTGCCGCGGTGGTTCTGCAGC